GCCAGGCGCGTCGCAGTGTTTCGTGAGTTATCGCGAAGCCTGTTACGCGAGACGTGGTCTGGCGTACATCTACCTAGTAATTGGCTGAGCGATTACGAAGCCTATTACTCCAGTGATCAAAAGGTTTCGCGTCTGTCTGTGTGTCTGTCTGTCATCACGATAACTCGAGAACGAATTGAGCTAGCGACCTGGGATTTTCAGGGACGTCTTGTATCATAAAAAGACAGATCAAGTCCGAAGAAGAGCATTCTAGCTCAAAAATTGGATTTTAAAACTAGCCATACGTACGCCAGACCACGTCTCGCGTAACAGGCTTCGCGACATCTCACGAAACACTGTTACGCTGCGACGCGCCTGGCGCACACATAGCCAGGGCCTGCGGCGCTGACACCCGAGACGGGGTAATAGGAGTGCATATACAATTTTTCGAAATGAAGTCTTTTTAACGATTTAATCGACCATTTGATCATTATCACCTCATTTTTGTCAAGAAATGCCCCCTAGCACCTAAACGGTACAAGATAGAGCCAAACGGACGAAATTTGCGCCCATAGCGCTCCGTTTGGACGAGTTACCCCTAAGGAACCCATAAAAAAATATTTGACAAAAATTCACTTTGAGACCTTTAGTTTTTGATTTTTTAAAAAGCCAATTTTTTGAGCTAGAATGCTCATCTTCGAAATCGATCTGTCTTTTTATGATACAAACTGACCCTGAAATTCCCAGATCGCTATCTCAATCCATTCTCGAGTTATCGTGCGGACAGACAAACAAACACACAAACAAACAAACAAACAAATCCACAAACAGAATGAAACTTTTCCGGTCAGTGCAGTAATGGGCTTCGCTAATCGCTCAGCCAAAAATCAGAAACCACTGGTCCCACAAATAATGTTTTAAACTAGGTAGATGTACGCCAGACCACGTCTCGCGTAACAGGCTTCGCGATATCTCACGAAACACGGTTACGCTGCGACGCGCCTGGCATACATCTACCTAGGCCTGCGGCGCTGACACCCCCGTCGGGAAGCGCAAAAAAGTACACGAAGATACGGGCCTTCGGCCCGTCAACTTCCCGTCACTTCGACTAAGAATGCAGGGTTGTATATTTTTTCGCTTATTTTCGTCAAAAACTCCCTGTGGCGCCTGAACGGTTAGATATAGAGCCAAACGGACGAAATTTTCGCCCAAAGGGCTCTATTTTGATGACTTACCCCTTAAAAAACATGAAAACAACAGTTTTAAAAAACGTCATTTTGGGGACCTGTGGTTTTCGATTTTTTAAAAATCCAATTTTTGAGCTAGAATGCTC